TTAAAAATTATCTAATAAATATTTTCGTTAAAAAACTTGAAACAATAAACAAATTTTATCGGAAATTCGATCTCGGGAATATTTGCGCATAGCCTGCATATTATACGACAATGAAAGACGTCTTCATCGATCCTTACGGTCTGCCCTTGGCATGCATACGCTACGATCGATATACATTCCCAAGCAAGAAGATGTATCCAGCAACTGCAAGGGGGCATTAATTTTCGCAAAGGAAAGACGATCGCTCGAGTGCGCGCTTTACTTTGCACGCTCCCTCCGAATTTTTTTTCTCTCGTCTCGCCATCTTGTGAGCCCTCGATTGTGCGTACGGTATAAATATACCTGTGCCCACACATTACGTATATAAACGCTACACATAAGCAAGCGAAAGACCATCGCTGATCTCCTTATATTATTACCCTCGAGAATCGCACATCCTCTCTCCCGTGCAACTTTTCGCATAAGTACACTTACTCTCCTACCACGATTCTGCACGTGTTAACGCAATGATTTTGCCCCGAGGTAAAAGATCGCCACTCGCGCCAACACTCATTTATTCGATCGCACCGAGCTTTCTCGGACAATTTTTTTTTTTTCTTCTCTTTTTCGGTCGCTTACAATATATGCGCGGGTAATTATATGGCTGTAGGTACCACTTTTCCACAGAGATACTGAATATTTCACGTGCGCTTACACCTTGGCACGCATTGCAGTCATTAAATAGGTCGTTCGCGGCTTTTCATCATAATCACCCCCCATAAAGAAGAATGTTTTTATTATTATTATTATTATTATTATTATTATTATTATTACATTAATGATTTGTGAGTATTTAGGTACTCGTATCTAATTAGAAACCTCATGTCGAGTTGAAAACTATGAAATTACGTTACAAGTGTTTAAATAACGTATAATGGCAAAAGTATACAACGTATTGTAGACAAAGTCAATAGTTTACAGTAACTTGTAAAATCTCGACTTGCAATATGTTGGCGAGTTTATACGTGTTTTGGATTAATCAGGCTATGTACATGAACCCACGCATAAACCGTGGCAAAGCTTAGTACACACATAACTAATTCGTACAAAAGACTAACAATAAGTAAGAGGTACTATATCATACGTAAACAAATTTTATATGTGCGTATAATAATAAAAATAATAATAATAATAATAATAATAATAATAAAGGCCTAATGGGCTTTTTACTTACTCGTTAAAATTTTTTTTTTTTGCAGCCAATTTTGTTCACTCTCGCTCCTCAGCCGTTCGTACAGCATCCACATAACTCCTGTCAAAAATCATGATCCACTCTCGGTATTACGACTCAAAACACCCCGACTATACCGCAGTCTCATTCAACACATTACCCTAATTTGCAGCTCCCATAAAACATGCGCTAACGTCGATTCATAAGTTACCGATTTATCACGTGGTATTATTAATCAACCTGCAAACGTGTGCATACAATTCCTCGCAGTTACATTGGACACCATAATGTGGTATGAACGTGAAATGAATATAGTTGCGATACACGCGCTCTTCTGATACTTACTGATATTTTTACACAGATGAACAACTTACTCATAGGTACGTATAGACAATCAGTAAGCGTAACACTGATTAATGATCGAATAAGGTATAATTACGTATACATCTCTCGTTCCTACCTGCAAATGAGCAGCTGTACTTAAAGTAAAAAAACGCAAAGTTGTACCTATACTTATCCCAAGTACATAGATATTTGCGCTCTCGGTTTGGCAAAATTGATCATAGAAAAGACAATTGGTTTGTCACAGACATAACAAGCGTATTAAGTATCATGTATATAAAAATACCCCATACATACAGATTATACTAACAATGAAAATAATACTCGCTCGCATATTCCGCTTTTCAATATTCGTGATTATTAATATTACAAAGATATGACATTTCGCAAAGCTCTGGCTCCCGTGCGTTCCATTTTCGTTTTATTTTCACCCGGTACATCGTTATAATCATATGCATGTACACCCGGTATGTATATATGTTTACAATACGAGAGCGCGCGTATAATGAAAAGTCGCGGTGTCCCCTTGTGCGTACAATATTAATTTATAATGTACAGAGCACTTTCGGCGAACTCCCGGGTCGCCCTGTGGTTTTAATGTTACACTTGTATTGCGGATTAATCGCCCGCGTCATACGTACAGCGAAAGAGTGAGAGCTGTGGGCTGTAAAGTTGCGTCACACGAGCCAAACGCAAAATCGCACTCCGCGAAGCGCGTGAAAATCAGAGCAACAACGCCGTACAAAGCGCAACGGTGAATTTTAATGCATTTTTCATCGGAAGGGATGAATTCGGGGCAGCCAGGGGGGGAGGGTAGTTTCCAAGCTGGCCTCATTACGCACCACCCACTCCCGTTTTCAACCCCCACATATATGAATGTGTTTAATATAATGTTGGCGAAAATTTTGCAAGTAGCATGTAGTAGCTTCTCTTTTATTTTGGGGCTTTAACTGCGTTTGTATTAGGGTGAAGGGTGAACGCTGACATTTGCAGTTGTTGGTGAATTTTACTTTCCCAGGACTCGTTTGGCATAAACTTTTAAAACCGGTGAAAATTATAAATTTACGATGTGGTGGAAGCTCAGAGAGGGAGTGACGCCTGATGTTTTGAAACCTGGTAACAATGTCGAAATTAATAATGTGATTTAAAAAATTGATTACAGAAGAGCGAGAAGCAGAGTTTTCGATACAGTGATGAAAAATCGGCCCTCACTAGCTCTTTGTTGGAAAGAAGAAGAAAAAATGAAGACGCAAATTTTGTGTATTTTGTTGTTTTGTATTGTGTAACGTAACGAGAGCGAAGACGTGAATCAAAAAAAGTAAGTTGTGGGTGCTCGGTCGGACGGAGGGAGACAAAAATTCTTACATCAAATTCTAATTGCGCTCCGGTATGACTTCACGGTGCAAATGCGCGGTGGGAGAGAGAGAGGCGCGTTATGTCATCGCGCTCTCTCGCCTCTGATGGAGCGCACAATGTGCATAGTTTGGCGCTCGCGCTATAGAATCGAACGTACATGCTCTTGTGTTTTGCGTTTCCGAGCAACCTTCGAAAATCCTCCAAGGCCCGCGTGCACTCGGGATCGAAATCTTCGTTATTGTTGTTGCTGGTGTTATAATAGGCAACTCAAGTCCCGAGACAAAGAACGAAAGTAAGTTACTATAGCACAACAACGAAATCAAAGGCATCTCCAGATACAGTTTTGTTGAGCCGCTGTTGCGAGCAGCTCTGATTTGATTTTTCAATCAACTCTCTCTCTCTCTCTCTCTCTCTCTCTCTCTCTCTCTCTGGCTTTCTAGAGTACACGCTCATCCTCTTTTGTAACACGTTGGTTTTTACTTTGCGCATTACAGGGAATGGAAAAAAAAAAGAAAAAAATTGTCTTTGACAGCGTGTGCGACGCGTGGGAGGGTGGCAATGCACTCCCGTCATCGCTGGAAACCATTATTGTTGCTACAGGAGACTAGCATAGACGTGCAGGTGTGTATAATATGCTCCTTGCCACCTTAACGCGCTTGATATTTTGGCAAAAACCCGCTAGTTGTGCGGTGGAGAGAAAAAAAAAATCGTCCAGGTCTTTGTGACTTTTTTCGAGGAAAAGAAAAAAAAAAAAAAATTCCAGCAAGGAAAAACGATTCAGGTGTACACGTACACATACGTGGTGAAGTATGAAGATTGATTTTTGCTGTTGCAGCTAGGCGAAATTTTCTTCCTGGTATATCATACTGGCCCGAGAGCTACTGACTCACGCGTAAATATCCTTTTTTTCATTCTCTTCAGAATTTATCCTTGCGTTTCCTTTTCTCATATTTTTCTCTTCTTTCCTCCCCTTTGTCGATGCTAGTGTAAAACTTATTTTGTTTGTCGAAATGCGCGCTTCCGAACATCCACTTTTTGAGCAAACAGCTTTTTCGTCTGTATTGCTTCATATTGGAAAAAAAAAAAAAAAAAAATACAAAATACAAAATGATTCACGATCTATGCCCCATTGTTGCATAATGCACTCGCAAGTTATTTCTTTGCTGGTGTGCATATACATCGACAGTTTTGACCTAAATTTTCAAAAGAATCCTTTCAGCTCTTTTTGGTCCAAAAAAAAAAAAAAAAAAAAAGTGCTTCCCACACTTGACTCGTTTTGCAGTTAAAGCACGACAGCATTATCCTGCAAAAGACTGAAGGTGAGCTTCATGGCAACCCAAATAGTATCAAACACTCTTAGAAATTCCTGTAAAATGTAATTCTTATTGTAGTAAAAAAAAAAAGGGCAATACCGCAGCATCCCTCTCACGACTCTCTAAAAATCCACAACATTTGGCTGAAAATTTTGTTGTATCCGGCCACCACACGAGAAACGGAGCTCATGCCTTCCTAACATTCAACGGACGCAACGAAAAGGTCCCGCAAAAAACGACTATACATTTCCGCCCACAAAATGCAACGTTGACTACAAACGGGTATTGCATCGTACATGTGTGCAAGTGTATGGGCACGTACACCTATGACAAAACGTCGCGAGCACACACACACACACGTGTATGTACACATAGGCGTTGGAAAAGCACATCGCATACCACGGCTCGCGGGCGCGCTCCTCCGCACACGTGTATAGCTAATGACTGACGATCTCGAAATATTTCCCCGCGCGCGGTCACGCCGTGTACGTGAGTGTGTGTACGCGGATCGTCCTGAAATGAAAAGGAAAGAAAAACTTGATGTATTGTACGTCACGGAGTGTCGAGGAGAAAAAAAAAAAAAAAAGAATAAAAGGAACCAATCGTGCCCGCAGCCTCGAAAGGGTTGGGGGGGGGGCTAAGAGTCTCGCACCCCCGTATGTCACGTGTATAGAGAGAGAGAGAGATGAAGGGGGGGAGGGCCAAACGAAATGTAATACAAACCAGCCGAACATTGGGAGGGGGGGGGAAAGGAATATTATGACCTGTGTAGACGCATAATGCGGATCCGTGGTAACGTGGGCCGAGGGGGAGAGTCGGCGCGTATCATCATCGGCGGCGACGGTGTTGGTGGTGGTGGTGGTGGTGGCGCAACGGCCTTGCTCGTAATGTTACACATATATCAAGGTGAGAGAAAGAGAGAGTGAGAGTAAGATGATGCTGCTGCTGATGACGAGGATGATGATGGGAACCGTATGGGTATATACACGCGGGAGGGAAGAAGCAGCATCGGTTTGCCGTGTGTGTGTGTGTGTGTGTGTGGTGGCACGCGCGCGGGCCGAGCAAGTATAAAACGTGAGCTTCGGCAGATGCTACCTCGCACTTTGTGGCGCAGTCATCTCTCCGAAGGATCTCCTCATCCTCCTCCTCCTCCTACCCCTCCACAGGAGTGCGGGACAGAGAAGCATCGCTGTTGTACCCACGGTAGGCCCCAAATACTCCTGTATCGCCGTCCATTTCAATATTTTCAACTCTATCGCTTCATCTTCCTTGTTTTGACAAAATTTCTTGTTTTTGCACAAATAAACGTAAATACGCGTTTTGTATAGATATACCTGGTCGTCCCTCGAAAGGAAAAGGGTACTCGAGCACGCAGGGAGTGCGGTCGTTCCCTCGTTCGTCTCGCGGCCAACCGGTAGCCGGACAACCCCTTCGCGCTAGCTGCTCTTTCAATCATGAGGGTGAGTATTGCCACTGTATATATTATCTTAATCTACGTTTTCTATGTATGAAAAAGGACATCGAACGCTAGGATTGTCCGGTTGCAATTCGAATCGTAAGATGTCGGCTGGCAGGGGGTTGTTTTTTACCACTGGAAAGCTTTGGTTGTGCTACAGATGAGTACGATTTTTTTTCACTATTCCGGCGTTATGAGAGTTTGCCTTTTGAAACATTGTATTTTTTTTTCATTTCTTTCGTTTACCTGGTGTATCCGTAGAAATGAATAATGAGGTAAAGTTACGCGTATTTGACGGTAAATGTTTTGTTTCATGATTTTGCATTTCGAGCACTATCAGCGCTTTTGTTTCTGTTTCAATAGTGCGATTTTTGTTGTTTGCCCTGTACACACGATACACAATGGAATCGAGTAGTGAAGAATGCGGAGCAATCAGTTAAATCTTTCGGCGGCAGCCGGTGCAAATCCAAACGGTAATTTTCGTCAACGGTGCACCGTTGGCTGAGCAAGCGAGCGATAAATTTCGGTGCGTTTTCGCTGGCCGGTCCACTAAATCCCGCGTCGCATAACAATTACACTTTACGACTTTGGCACGTAATAATTGTCAGGTGGGCGCGTGTGTGCGTGTCCGTTTGCTGCTGTTGTTCGATGAAAACGACTCCATCGCTCTTTGGAACTAACGCGCCGAAATCAAGTTTCATTACTTTCCAGCACAAACTTTCGCCCGCATCGATACTTGGGTTTGCAAAAACTCACTGGTTACTTAATGGTTACTTCATCCGATAGTTTAACTAATATACATCAACCATTTTTTAATGTTTGTCATTGAAACATAAAACTTACGATTAATCGTGGAAAGTACTACCACACATTATTGTTATTTTTTTTTATTTCTTATTCGAGTATCAATTTTGGTTAAAAAATTTTTTTTACAACTATCAGAAACATTCAATTACAGTGTGTATTTTATATTATTACTAATTTTTGTGTATCTCAACGTGTTAGTTCAAAAAAATTTTTTTACTTTTTTACGATTGCGTAAAATATTGTACGAGCCAAATCACTGATTCAAAATCTTATTACAATTTTCCGTAAATTACTTTTAATTTATCGTTATGATTTGCTGCATATCCGTAAATTTATTAGAAGCTACAATTACTTAACCCTTTATTCAAGTATTGAAGAAAATTAATTCTTTTTTAAATTCGTATCTTAGAAAATATATTAAAAATCTGAAGGTGAAGTTTTTATCTAAAATTTTTTTACGAAATGAAATTTGCGAGTGATGGACGTAAACAATGTTTAAATGTTAGTTACAGTATTAGAATTAGATCCGAAATAAAAAAAAATAGAGTACCAAAAATTTCATTTTATTAGATTATTGTTGCTTTCAAGATCAAAGTGTTGACGAATAAACTGATTATTTGCCAATTATAAGATGCTTTCTTCAATTTGCAACAAAAATACTCCAACGAATAATAAAAATGATGGAATATTGAATTGAAATGCTTTTCTCCAAATATTTGCATGCAAAATATGAAGCATTCGGATAATGCAAGATAATAAAACTAATTTTGTGTACTTTAGCCCACGAGTCACTTATCTTACACATAAAAATTTATTTTTTCGTAAAAAAAAAAAAAAAAAAAAAAACCTACGTACAAACTGTCTCGAGACAGTCCTGTGCAATGGTCGCATTTGAAAAACCGAAATCACCCGCGGAGCAAAGCGTATGCCTGCATTAGATTCAATTGAGAAAGATGAAACCATAAAATTGAAAAAAAAAAAAGAGAGAGACAAGAAAACACTTCGCATATAGCAGCATCAGCAGGATCGGGTAAATGTAAGTGCAAACAAAACGATCGAGCGAAAAAATCTCGAGCGGATTGCGCGATCGAGTTTTCGCTCTCAGCGCAGTAATTATCTTACGAGGGATTGGTACAGCCTGTATGCACGAGAGGTTGGCGTCCGCGGCACGGGGCATATACATACACATATACGTGTTCATACGCGCGCTCAAACGAAATGTAAAGCCGGGACGGAGGTGGAAACCCTTACCCTTTCATCCTGCTGAGCTGTACGACCGGCGTTCCCATAAATTATCGGACGAGCGACGCGAGTAATACTCTGCACCGGTGGTGCTTCCCTTGCGAAATGTAGCCTGCATCCACGGATTTCGGCGTGAAACTGAGCCTCCGTTGCCGATCTCCGGGCCGCCCGCGTGTCTCCTCCGAATATCTGCAGATGTGTATACCATTCGCGGCCTCTTTTTCTTCACACCACGAGTTGCTTTTTTCTTTTTTTCTTTTATTCCATTTTTTATTTCCATCGCAAATGAAAAATTACACCCTCACTGTGTCAATGACTTGGTTGCCATGTTGACATTACTGCGTTGTCAAAAATAAAAATTTTAATTTCATATAAAAAAAAAAAGAAAAACATATTTACCACATATACACCAAGGATAAATTAGTAGAAATGACAAAAAAAGACTACCTCGAGCTCATCAGGGGCTCTTTATTTTTTGTACACGCAAAATCGCATGATTTATTTACCCACGATATTGCTCACGGAGAGCCAACGCAAACACCACCCGAATGCGCGATCCAGTTGAAAAAGAAAAATTCGGCAAATAAACGTGCACGTACATAAACATATCGCGTTTGGCCCCCTCCCAGCGCGAAAGACAATTTTTTGCCGACTTATCTGGTGTTTTGAGCACCCGATGATTACACACTTGAAGGAAGCCGCACGAGAAGAAAAGAAAAAAAAATCCTATAAAGACAAAGTAAGTTGGCTGATGTGTGATGTGGAATAAAATAGAGTGCACGGAAAAAAAAAAAAAAAAAAAAAAAAAAATCGGCCGTTCGCACGTAATCCTCGATCGATCGCTTTTACGTTTACCCTCGCGTACACCACAAGCGACTCTTTCCTTTGCCTCTCCTTCTTGCCCTGCTTATATTAATACATGTACTACACGTGTGTATAAATATACCTGTACACGTATATATATGATGTACGATCTCTCACGCGCGTGGGTAGGTATAACTCGCGTGTATGATTTATCGGCCGCACGAGGAACCCGAATAAGAGAGTGAAACTTGGCAAAGAAGATGCGTACAACAATCATAATGATGACAAGAATAAATAATAATAACAATCTCTGCCGCGCGATCTTTATGGATAAACGTGTATAATGCAGGAGAGTGCATGTATATGTGTATGTATAATGTGCAGTGCGTGCTCCCGCGGTGTGCTTGCGTCATGTATAAGGCATTCGTGAGCTGGGAAAGGACTTTCGCGCGCCGAGTATTGATTAATTGGGGCTTAATGGGCCCCTTTTACTCATCGAAAGAGGATGTGCTGATAAAACGCCGGCAAAAGTTACAAAGTCGAGTGTACAAACATGAGCCGTCCATTGGGTGGGGGGAGTGCGGATAATGCTGGTGCAGCGCAGAATGTATACGTTGTACACATAGGGTTTGAGGACCGTAGAGTAAACATCAGGGAGTTTTTTTTACATAACGTTACATGAGGAGAGCAGTAATTTCCGTGTCTAACGTCAACCAACACCTTCAACATGCAACAGCCGAAAAATAGTAGTTTTCCTACGAGTTTGAAAAGTCTTTGTTTGCGAACCGAGAGGTTTGCGGCCCGAGCCGTAACGAGGTTCGTAAAGGAGACTTTTCGAACGAGTTCCGGAAAACTGCTTTTTCGCCCGAGGAAGTACCAGCCTCCCAAAACCACCCGAGGGCAGAAAATTTTTTTTTTTCTTCGTATATTCTCTTGCCTTGGATACAAAAATTAGGACGCATGGCTGTGAGCCCAAAAAAAGGATAGAGGACGAACAAAAATCCTGTGCTTAGCTTGATATATAAACCATCAGATTGCTGTAACTGTTGGATTTACCCGACGGAGCGGATGTTGGTATTACGTTCGAAATAAAATCATCTCGATTTTTTTTTTTTTTTTTATCCCCCACACAATTCGAAGGATGCAGGGGAAAAAAGAAAATATCAAACACTCGTAACGTACGAAATCGCTTGCCCACCATAGTTCACTCGAATGTGTATAGCACATACATTTCCAGGCGCGTGAAACTCGTCGTTTTTCAATCTTGCTAAACTATCCCTCCTCGTCACCCCGTATCCTCGAGCTACATATCAGGTGGATACGGACCGAACCAACTGCGACATCCATCTGCAAATGTAATAAATGTAACGACGTTCGTCGCGCATTCGTATAACAAATTTCGAATTCAATCTCCGGACGCTCGTGCGTACAAACACGTATGTATCCCCGTGTGTCGCCGAATCGAAAATCTCGTCTCCGAAGCGCGTAATATTTGCCCACGCCGGAACAATATTTCGATCAAACAGAGCAGGGATGGATTACTTGTGGCAATAAATTATGTACACCCATGCGGGAGCGAAGAAATAAAAAAATTACACGCATAGATGATATTTATGTTAGGTTGCACTCGAGTGTGACTTTTGTAACTGTTTTTCTCGTCGGAGCCGAAAAACGATCTTCTACATACATGTCACACGCACAACGGAGACGAACAACTTAATAAGCGGCTCTTCTATACTTATGTTGCATGGCTTACCTATATCTCCTCCACTTGGACGCGCGAGTGCACCGTGAACCTATACATATATTTTGCGCGATCGCCGCGCGGCATCACGTTCCGCATAATACGACACGCAGAGTCAGGATAAACGACCGTAAAGAGGGGAGAGAGCGACGCGCTTCGAAATCCCTCCCGACCGCCAAGTATCTGTGCAGAGTAAGCACGTGCGCTCGCGATCCTCCCCCATTTCCAGCCCCCCCCCCAAAGGACCGATCAGTCAAGCGCGCGCGAGCGGCTACGACATCTGCGTACACAGGTATACGTATGGCATATGTACCATTGGCCTATGCGCGCGACCGTAAGAAATAGAGAAAGAGGCGCTCACGGATCGACCGTCCGACTTGCGAAACCATCATCGTCCGCCTGCGCGCGGCTCTTCTTTAATAGCCCCGGCTCTCTCGCGTTCTCGTTGCGTCAAAATGTAAAATTGCGCTCTCGCTCGCCCCGTATCTCGCGCGTATACGTACATATACACACGCGCGCGCGCGCGCGCGTTACGCACAGAAAATGTGACCCGAGAGTCGCGGCATGATGCACGGGACATTGCGTGCAATATCGTCTAAATTAATTTTCGTGAATATATATGTATACGAGTGTGTTGAACAATGAGGCGTGCATTCGTCATTCGTGAGTTTCCACCAAATTTTCATCAATAATTTTCGGCCTTTTCTTTTATTACTTCCCGCCGAGCGTGTTTGCATCGTTCGCACGGGCTGACGTAACGCCGACTCCGTCATTTTCGTCCATATACATATACGTATGTGCTCAGCGGAGCCGAGTGAGGCGTAAATCAACTCGACAATGATTCTCGATCGCATACACACACATGCGCGCTTATATATGTATATAGGTAAAGAGCACTTTGTTCGCTGCCGCGGAGTCTGCGTTTATATATTACAGATCGGCTGTTTCACGGTATGATCGATGGATTGGCTGATGGACACGATGTATAGGTGTCATTCGTATGTGGTTCGAGCCAAAAGTTTGGTGCTCCGCGTTAGAAAATTTTACCACACGCGAAATTTATAATATCCGCTTGCAGACACTCGTGGGATTATTGGCGCAAGAGCGCCCATGAAGCGATTGGCGCTGTTTCAAGCCCTGCAAGTAGTCACAGACAAGTTGAGGACAGACGCTGTACAATACCAGGATATATATAAGCAAGGGAAAAAAAAAAAAAAAAAAAAAACAAGCAATTTGGTTAACGCAAATCAATTCCAACAGATGTTCGTGGCATGTACGGCCCTGTTTGCGCTGCTGGCCCTGACGGCCAAGGCAGAGCCGCCGGTCAACCAGTACCTGCCTCCCGACCAGTTGTACGGGGCCCCTAGTGGACAGCAGAGGCCACCACCGTCATTAGGCGGGGGTGGTAATCGCCCGGGCGGTGGCTCGAACCAGTACCTCCCTCCGAACCAACAGTACGGGCCGCCAAACGCGGCTGGACCGGTTGGACCAGGAGGCGTCGGTGGCGGGTATCCCGGAGCCGGTGGACCTGGAGGCGGTTACCCTGGCTCGGGGGCACCTGGCGGTGGTTACCCGGGCGCTGGCGGGGGATACGACGAAAACGCCAACAACGTGAGTACACGATTCCTCCTCGTGCTTTTTGGCCATTTCTCGAATAAATTCACATTCATTCGTATACTTGTACACGCTGGTGTTGTAAGTTATTGTTAATCCCGTTTAGCTGACCTATTGTAACGTGCAAATTTGTGTTTTGTATTGTCGGCAGGCCCCGGCCAAGTACGAGTTTGAGTACGCGGTGAACGACCCACCCTCGGGCAACGACTTTGGGCACAAGGAGTCGCGGGACGGTGACTACACGCGCGGCGTCTACTTCGTCCTGCTGCCGGACGGACGGAGGCAGATGGTCGAGTACGAGGCCGATCAGGAGGGATACAGGCCCAAGGTCACCTACATCGGGGGCGGAGGTGGTGGTGGTGCGGGGGGCGGTTATCCCAGTGGGGGCCCAGGAGGCTATCCTAGCGGAGGTGGGCAGGGTGGGTACCCGAGCGGAGGGGGATATCCTGGTGGAGGGTCAGGAGGCTATCCCAGCGGTGGTGGCGGCGGTCCGGGAGGATACCCGAGCGGCGGACAAGGTGGATACAACTATTAGAAACGCCGAAAGGCTTCATCATTGGGCCGTGTGAACTTTTTTTTTTGTTTTTTTTTTTTTTTTCATTGAATACTATGGAATTGCGCTTGCACTGGTTAATTTTGACCTTTGGTTTGAAAAATTGCACGATAATTGGAGACGAATGATCGCGATTCAATTGGCACGAGTGCAACCGAGCGTACTCTTCTTAAATTGCATTTGAAGCTACGCATTTTTGGAATTTTTTCTTAAAATCGCAGTTGGAGTATTTAAAAGTAGAGGGGGGGAAACAATTTGACGTATTTAGGAAACAAGTATCCACGAGCACGTAAAACAGCAAGAGTTGAAAACTATATTTTTGTGAAAATACTCGTTACTTTTTCATACACAAAAGTTTTTTTTTATGCGTATATAAATACATACACACACATCTATATATATATATATATATAAGTATATAAATATAAAATATATTACACAAGTGCGAAATTATCATCTATACTCATGATAAAACTGATATTATATACTTTGTGTATTACGAGAGGGGTTGCCGGGGGCGCACCCCCTCATGTTTGAATAACCCATTCGCCCCTCATCTACATTCTGTAACATAGCTCGACGTGCTCTCTCTCATTGCATATATATACATGTATATATATGTACACCCACACATTGTTTACGTTTGTACGTGTATACCTCTATACAAATACCCATACAAACACACACACACACACACACACAAAATGTACATTAGTATTGTGACGATATGATGGAACAACACGTGTATATACAAGCAAATATTTGACTGTGCATCGATATAAGCACTGCAATTATGCATGTACGGACACACGTATAATGTTATACGTGTATGTATATGCGTAGCCGATGGCTGCGACAAAAGAAGAACGAGAGTATGCGATTTGGCAGACAAACAGGGGCAAGTTGTGGTACCTATATATCTACCCATTACGTATGTGTGTGTAGCAAATAGGTAGTTTAAAAATATAGATGGTATGTACAGCAGGATTGTAGAGTTGTTTGCTGGAGAAGTGGTTGAGCACTCCTATGCAGTGCGCGCAGTCTCTTTGTATCGTGTTTGTATATGTACAATATAATAATAATAATAATAATAATAATAATAATAATAATTTTTAATTACAATTTTCATGAGCACTCGCGTGCTTGTTAATTTATTTACATTGCCCAAGACCTCCCGCAGTGTGTGCCCACTGCATATCCTTCCTTAACTATGTATGTACATACATATTACATGGATATACCTAAATATAATGTGGATGCGTCGCAGCTCCATTGGATCCTTTTCACTTTTTTCTTTCTCTCCATCTCCCTTTTTCAGGGCCAAAAACGTAGGTATATAAAGGTTATCCATGCAAAAGATGGACATGTTCAAGACTTCGAAGCTTTTCCTTCCTGTTAACGAGAGAGGAAAAATTTATCTGATTAGACATTTGACAGTTCGGGGTAACAGGATACCCATCAGTCAGTTTTTATTGTATACATACAGATAACAGACCAGACAAGCTTAAATGTACCCAAAGGACAAAGACTCATATCTAGGTGATTTCTCAATTTGGATTCACGTCAACAGTTTTTGAAGGTTACTATGAATAAATTTTCAGTATAGGGTTGGTGGTACAAACATCAAATGCATTATTTGCAACGTATTGCTAAACTCGTTAATAAACGCGTCAATTTTCTCATGCAGCTTTTGCAGCGTATTTTTGAACGTAGCATTTTTCTTTTTTCTGCATTGGGATGATTCAAAAACATGATGGACCAAAAGTAAAAATCTTCACCATGTCATAGCTATGTAGGAATCGCTTCTCTAATAATGAGATAAATATAAACATTACATTTTTTTACGTACATTTTGTACAATTATAGAGAAGATGTTCTTCATACATCAGTTTACTTGTTAAAAACAGACTGTTGATGTTTATGGTTATTCTTTGGAAATTTTTTAAACAATTGTTTGCTTCCCATGTACTAACTTCTTATAAGATTACCCAAAATCTCAAAATAAACTTTCGTGGCAACAGTATTATCTACGTAATTGGTAATACAACTTCGGCTACGTAAAGTGCCAACAATCCAATTTTGTAATTACTAAACACACCAAGCCATTGTACAGTCAATCGCGTATTATTTAGGGGCCAACGAAAAATAGGGGATAATAAAACACCATCTTGAGGTTGACTATCATTTCTTTATTGGTTTAATAAACATTATAGACATGCATTTGTATTTTTTACGCAATATTCTTTTTTTTTTCCCTTTTTTTTATTACTATTGTTATTACAATCATTAATGATGTCATTACTAAGAGTAAAGAATTTTGTCACTTATTCATACCCAATATTTAATCCTTACCCGCTTTGCTGTGTAAAGTACATTAATCACATTTTACGACAACAGGGATTGTAGCCTATACCTATACAAATAAATAAATAATTTTTTTTTTTTTTTTTAATGACAAAAGTATAGTACACTTAAACAACGACATCAAAATTAACTCGTACACATAAGCCGTCAAATCGATGTACTTCCCAGTATTGTGATTTCAACACAAAAGAGACTTTATCGTGTTGCTCCACCAAAATTATAACAATGCAAAGTGGCGCCTCGGGAACCAGCGCTGGAAAAGCTCCGACAAACTATTACCGGGAGAAACAAAACAAAGTTTTCAAGAAGAGCTGACTTTTACAAGTACAAAATCGGCTTTCCGAACAGTTCCTCGAAACATCAATTACTTTTTTTTTTTTTTTTTTTTTTTTTTTTTTTTTTTTTTTTTAATTTTTTTNTTTTTTTTTCAAAAAATTGAGCAATTCGGTATATATAGTCATCTGCAACAAAGGACTTGAAATGGGTTTGTTTTTTCATTCAATTATTTCACAACTGCAGGATTCTCGCCGTAGGCAGCCAAACCGATTTTCGCCCCGTAAACACTTGAAAATAGCAACGGCAATCAAAGGCTCGCCGTCGCGTGCTATACACACTGCAAGAGTAGTAGCAGGGGGGGGGGTGGAAAGCAACAGTAGACTAGTAGGGCCCTTGGGGGACGTCGAGGCGATTGGCAGCGACGACTCGGGGCGTTTTGGGCCCGAGCACCGTGGCCACCTCCTCGTACATGATTCTGGGCCTAAATCCCGCCTCGTCCGCCTGATAATGGACCACTTGCTTGCGGCCGTCCGGCAACAAGACGCTGTAGTAACCCCGAGCCTGGTTACCCTCCCGGCTCTCCTTGTGCCCGAAATCGTTGCCAAACTCGTCGTTCACCCGGTACTCGAACTCGTACTTGGCTAACTCCTGTTGGGCATTGTTGTTGTTATGATTATTTTTGTTATCCCCTTGCCGCCCTCACCCCTTCCTTTGAGATAAAAAATGAGCGGCTCACCGTGGTCGAATGCTCGCTCGCTCGGGCTCCGTACGACTCGCTGGATCCAGAGACGGGAGGCAGGTAATTGTCCGTCACCGATTGCTCGGCACCTTTGACACGGGGCCCTCCCTCCGTCGGAGGAGAGCTGGACGAGGGTCGACCCCTACCGTGGACCGGCTCCGGAAGCTGCGCGTGCTCGGGCCCCGAGGTCTTGTCGTCGGCGACAGGAGCGATGTTGCTCGGTGGCAGGTATTGACTCCGCGTCGTGAACGCCGGTGGATGGACCGTCGGAGGTGGCAAGTAGTCCGATCGCAGGGGTGGCAAGTAATTGCTTGGCACCTCTGGGACTGATGGGCTCCTGCCACTGCCGCTGGGTGGTAAGTAATCAGTGCTCGGCTGGTGCGACCGGGTGATGGGCGGTGGTAGGTACGAGGTGGTCGTCGTAGGCACCGCTGGCGAGGAAGGCAATGGCTTTAGAGGAGGCAGGTAAGTGTTGGAAGGTGGTGGTGGTGGTCTACTGCTGCTGGGGACTGTCTTTTCGGGGCGCAGCTGGACCCGAGGGGGTACGTAGTAGTACGGCGACGGGATATCGGTGCCGATGGGCGCGGACTCGACACTGGCCAGTGATGACCTCCCCAATAGCGACACCAGAGCTATCAACATCACCTGGAAACGATAGATCTGTCATGCTTATCCAACCCCGTATATATTATACACCTATATGTTTGAGGTGCAAACGCCTAATCACATGGACTTTGTTGTTGAGAAAATCATATACATCAGTCGATGAATGTGTGTTTTACATTGTGTTTTTTAATGTAGCTGTTTAAATATGTTTTAACGGGCGTTACCTCAATTCAGTCCTAAGGTATACCAAAATGATTGATTCAATCCAAGAGATATTATATGTGCGTAATTTTACTCGGTGCAATGATGATCGCGGTCAGGGGAGGCATGTTTGAGCAGGGCTCGACAAAAAATTGCGAATTAATGAAAAAATCAAAGCTAAGAGTACGCCCCTGCTGGTGTAAGTATACATAAAGTTACGTAAAACATTGATTTAGTCGTTGACTTGGGCCACTTTGCACAAAGACACGCACAAAAACAACAACAATAACAACAACAGCCAACAAAATAATGATGGAGCAGCCGAAATCAGCTTACAGTGGTGTTAACAAATTTACGCGAAAAATAAAGTATAAACCACGGAACAACCGAACTGTAGGTACAATACAACTCACGTCTATGTGTATTTATATGTAATATAACTATATGTGACAGATTTTGAGGCAAATATAGGTAAATTTTACCAATTGTATATGTATACCTTCATGACGATGGTAGAACGCGGACTCGACGGAAGTGCAACTCGGATTCGTGGGCCACCGGCGTGGTTCTCGGCTTTTATATCCCCAAGAAATAGATATCACACGGTACCCCGTTCCGCGCAACGTTTGCAAGCAAATGCGTTACAAGACTCTGTAAGTATTGCAGACAAGCGGCTCCTCCTCTGCCGCGTACCACCACCAACCTACACCTATATTATTACCTATGCGTATGCACCATCACCACCTTTTACTACATGCCTGTAGTGCCTGTACTTTTGCTCTACATATGTATACTTCGAGGTGACGGTGAGTGTGTAATTTATCGTACAATGGTACTAGAGCGTCATTGATACGCTCGCTTAATCATCGTGTCTTCCGCGAGAGTGTCCGCTTACGCGTGATGTGCGTAAGTGTGAAACCAGGGGATCAGTTGGCAATGGTATTGCATATCATTTGTTTCGCGAAAAGTATATGAAAAAAAGGGGGCATTGTCGTCTTTTTGAAGCACATACATGTATCCATGCATTTGAGTACACACCTAATAATTTTTTATTTTATTTTTTTATTTTTATGTGTATACTCTTGGAAAAATATTGGTAATTTAGGCATAGAGCCAATAACTTCCAGCGCGTGTGACGAGAACTATCTATACATGAGCAATTGTAATGCACGCCACAGGGTATCGGGAGTGAGGACGCGAGCAAAGGACCCGCCACGTACAATGAATATATACCTGCACTTTTGTCTTTCAATTGGATTAATCAGATGCAGATGAGTAGTTGGTGCTAAGTTCAATGTCACACCATACGTGTATATTAATCGTTCGGCCAATAGCAATCGAACAAAGATTCTCGAGTTTTGGTTCTGTCTCGCAATTTGGAGCGAAATTATACTTCGGCGACAGTGGCTCAGCTCTTGGCGATTATTCAAGTGGTGTGCGTCAACACCTCGTATAACCCAGGCTTTTCATATTTTCGGGCTGGTGCATAAAATTTTCGCTTCTCAGACGCCGAAAACTGAAAATACATGACAATACAGTGCTCGTGTGTTATCCGATCGATCAGCCGGATTCGCTGCTCCACAATGCACGTGGACATACCTACCTGAAATAGAGGCCGCTTCGAGATATTTGAGTTTGTGCTTCGTATTAAAAAAAAAAAAAAAAAAAAAAAAAAAAAAAAAAAATTAATATAGTTAACTGACGTGAATTGCGTTACAGTCCTATAAATATTAGGTTCGCGAAAAAAAAGACAAGTACAGATACTTGAGATCTTTGGTAAGGTATAATCTTTTTCAAATGATCTGGTGGGGATATTTTTTATATAATTATTGCCCTTACGGCTAGAGAAATCCTTTAGTTGGAGCTGCGGGACATAAAGTGTGTATTCGATTGTCTCTAATTGTCTCTAACGATGGCACCATCGGCATCAACCCCAATGTCCTTACCCGTGCTACGGAGTTTCTCATCGAAATGTCAACATTAGATTTCAACTTGACGATATTCTTTCATTTACGCGCTCATAGATTTGACTGCATCGCTATAATAGTGATTGTGCTCTTACGAGTGTCAATAAATTAGAAAAAAAAATAATGTACCTATTTTATGCAAATGTATCGTTGGTATAAAGTTTAATAAGCAAACACGTGGGAGCTTTCATTGATACGCTTCGATTCGTTACGGTACAGAGCCAGTATATCTATTACACCTACTTTTTTAGAAACTGATATTCAAGAAAGATTCTCGTGTGTTTCGTTTGTATTGTCATTGTACAGCTCTACATGCGAATTAGTGTTTATTTTTCTTTCATTTTTTGTTGCCGTTGTTGCTAAGACTTTGGATTTTCGTCTCAATGTACCAAAGTGTTATCCAAAATCAGGTAAATTATATGTATTTAGGCTTATTAGCTCCCACGTTGGGGTCACAAGATTATATGTATATAAAACAATCGAATAGATATACATACACAAAAGTTGTTTTTTTATTAAACACGTCTCATGACACACGACGCCCGTCATTCTATTGAGAAGTACAGATTTTATGCACTGATGCACTCTTGCATGCATCGATCGATTCACTCGTTTTCGTGTTGTTGTCATCACTATTGCACGGTAGAACTCGCCTTTTTACCGAGCAACGCCCAACCAACAAATGAATTTAAGAAGAGAGAGAAAAAAAAAAAAAGTATTTTCCAGTTGGGCTTTGATTTATTAGTAATACACACAGGCACATCGATGATGGGGTCAATACGGTGCGCCAGGGGCCTCGTACGTGATTCTGGGCCTGAAGCCAGCCTCATCCGCCTCGTACACCACGACTTGTCTCCGTCCATCGGGTAACAGCACGTGGTACCGGCCCCGGGTTTTCGAGCCGTACCGGGACTCCTGATGTCCAAAGTCGTTACCGCTTCTGGGGTCCCTTACCCTGTAGCCGAAGTCATACTTGGCTGGCTCGTTCCACTCGAACTGCGAACAAAAATAATCGTGCGAATCTTCATGAACGTGAACTACACCGAGAGAGGTGTCACGAGCGCGTCCGCCCCACTTGGTGCGATGCAATGAGGTGCCACTCTCAGAGTGAGTGTGTACAAGGAAGTCGACAGGTACGAATTGTCCGGGGTGAGTTTATTCGAGCAAACTGAGTGTTGAGTGAGCCAAGACCTCCGAAACTCGTTGAATAAAAAGTTTTACGGGTGGCAGGGGGGGGGGAAGGGCCTCTTCGAGAAAACGAGACGACGAGGAGTCATCTGCAGTTACTTTCCTCTTAGGCTCCGTTTTCTCGTCAGTTAGGATCTGGCGTATACAAACTTTTGTTCGGAATCTGAAAACAACTTTGTTTCATTGAAAACACGAAAATAACTACAAATTCAACAAAGTTTACAAAATAAAATAATCATTAGAACGTAGTGGGGGGTAGGAGTGGTGTACGTTTGTAACGCAATAGAGTGACCAATAAGTTGAATTGCAATTTAAAAATGTTGAATAACAGCAATGATGACAAATAGAAAATAGCTGGATGGCATTAAACAGTGTGGATTTTGGAGAACTATTATTCAAATGGCAACAAAATTGTCGCATTAAAATGATTGGCATATATTGTGGTAAGTAGGAGAGAGTGGGTGCAATGATGGCAATAAATGTGTAAATTAAACTGATTCAATGTGGTGGGAAAAGGTATTGTGTATTGTCATAATGACGTGATAGGTAATGGTCGACTTTTGAAAAGCGCGTCACACCCCACACTTGACGTGCACCCACTGACTTTTCAAAGCCCCAAAAATGTAAGTATATACCGTGAGAGGAGGAAAAAAAAAGCGAAACAACGCCTACCTCTTGGTGCCGCTGGGAACCCCGAAGATCCGGGGCTTCGTATGATGTGGATCCGGGCTTCGGGTACGAGTAGTAGTGGGACGAGTCGCTTCCCTGCGAGGTCCTGCGAAAACCCTCGTTGCGACCACGGGGCGATCTGAAGCCCCGGTAGGGCGTGAGTTGACGATGGGGTGGCAGATAGTGACCCGACGGAGGCTCGAGGCTGGCCTGAGCTGCGCCGACAATGACAAGGGCGAGCACCACCGACGACAAAACCTACGGGAAACGCGTGCATTTTACTTTTGGCTTGTCAATATTTTGATCGAACCTTAATTTGTTACGCATCGCACGGCGCAACATTGTAAATGCATGAATTTTCCAAATGAATATGTCATTGGTCGACGGTACGTCAAACGCCGTGCAATTTAACACGTGATGCGCCACATTGTTAAACGAGATGCGTTTGCGTAAAATTAATTTCGGTTTTGCACGACGAGTTATCCGCGCGTCTATTGAATAACGAATTTTCTGATAATTGTTGAAAACAAACGTATTGTTCGGCAGATTGGTTATCGCGGTACGACACGTTCCAAGCGATCTATTAAAAAAAGTTGTTTCAGTCATTGTTTCCGTAATCGGGTGACACGAGCAGCGCTCGAGCAATTAACCTGTCGATGGCACGGCAAAAGTGAAAAGTAACAAATAACAACAAAGTTTTTACCTTCATGCCGATTGAGCGACGGAGCGATATAGGGGATTGAAATCTTCCGTGATCCGTGATCTCAAGTTGGCTGTTGTCGTGGGAATGGTTGCCGAAAAAATGATCCACATGTCAGGGTAGCCTCGGGACTTTTATACACCGCGATTTACATTACCCGAGCCATGCTAATAAAAACGCAGTCCCCACCATGAATGATGTACAAGTGGAGCAAGGAGCTGACGAGCAAGAAAAAAAAATTAAAAAAAAAAAAACAAAAAAACAAAACAGAAAAAGAATACACCTCCGTAGCTTCTTCCGTGATTCGGCGACTCGCGGGCCATTAAATGGCACGCTTGGGTTGCGCCACCTTTGTTTTTTTTGTTTTTTTTTCATGTGATTAACGTGTACCTACATATAATATACATCCACAGGAACAAACGAATAGGTTCAAGCTGCGGACGACCGATGCGTATAAAAACTGTCTCACCTTGACGGGCCCTCTCCCCTTTGAATGCTCCAAAAAATATCGCCTCCCTACCCCCCCCCCCGGCTGGCGGTACTAGTACCAATGCCTGCTGATCAAAGGAGTATAGGTATGCGTATGGACGAAATCATCATCTCATCGACAACCCCTCGTTCAACAATACACGCTGTCATGTACTGCTCGGCTCGTTAACTGCAATGCACTCGTGGTAAATGGTAGTAATAGGACATTTCTATGATCAACAGAGACTACACGCAACGTCGCCACAGAGTTAGGTGCGAAGGGGTCAAGAGAGATTATTATTATTATTATTATTATTATTATTATATATCTACGTGCAACATATTGCCAAGGATCTCACAACTCCTTGCCTCTGAATGGGCCTTTGATTGTATCCTTAGGCGAATTGATGTTACTCCAATGTTGTATGTTACATATAGAAATTAATGTAGAGCACACCCGTCAATGTGGGGGAATTTCCCACATCGCAAGTGACGATAACCTCGGATTCATCCGTACACCCATCATCCATTTATCATCCACGCACGCGGGAACGTTGGCACGTTACATACGTGTAAAGGGTACTCGCATATGTCTACATAGAGAGAGAGAGAGAGAGAGAGAGAGAGAGAGAGAACGGAGAGAACAGTCGTATTGTGTTTTTGAACGAGTAGCGGGGGAACACAACGCGCATCAGATAACTGCCTACTCGATGAGACCAATACAATTAGTATGTGTGTGTGTGTGTGTGTGTGTGTATAGAGATGTTGTTTGTGGAATATATGTATATGGACGCATACACTAGGTGCTTGTTTTATAAGAAAAACAAAAAAATAATAATAATAAAAACAAAAAGGATGGCTATGACGCCACGCGTGCGAGTACATGCATAAATGTATGTATATATACCACCGACATGTATAATAACGGCGCTTTGTTTTTCCACTGCTCTTGTCCTCAAGTATAAGTAAAGCCACAAAGTATATCACTCGGTCGAATCAGTTGTTGTTCCTTTTGGTTCGTCCTTCAATTATTACGATAATACACACGGGCTGATCCATTTCAAAGAGTATTTAGTGATTAACTCGGGTGGGCCTTTGTCGTGTCTATCAAGTTGTTATTTAATCACTGGCACAAACTGTTTATCGAGGGTTGTTGTACCATTATTTTTAGTATCATTTTTTAACATCATTCGCTACTGTTGCAGGATAAAGTGACCGCATGCTCGTTGCACCGTGAAAAAAAAAATATGTTTCAAGATGATCAAAGCCCGTATTTGGAGAATAAAATTCATACGAGCGGATTATCTCTGTTTTTTTTTTTTTTTTCTTTTTTTCTCAATGATTTGAAGATACGAAAAAAAAGGGAGATGGGCGTTTTACAAATTTTTCAAAACGACAAGTTAAAAACTGAGGACTAATCACCAATATTTGAATGTCCATTGGTACGAGAAACATGGGAAATTTTGGTGAAAATTTCAAAATAGATAAACACGTGTGGATATTGTAGAGGGACGCATTGAAAAAAACGCGCAGCTCGATGTCGCGAAAAAAATTTTTTTTCATCCGTTAGCTACACGGATACTCGCAAAGGGAGGGCGGTATCGCTCGCAGAGGATCGGGGTACATGGGTTTTCATGGGGTACGAGTTTTACTTGAAACTTTTATCACGCGGCAGAGTTTTATTAAAAGTAACCACCGGACCGCGTCATCGGGCCAACCGGAGGGAGGGGAAAAATACGCTGGACCCGGCCCGTATCAATTACCCCAATCTCGGTTCTCTGTTTCGGTGGTTACAGTGGGGTCATGCAGCACAATGGCGAGTCGTCATGACCCAAGGCAGTCCATCTGCTGAGCAGACCAAAAATATTGGTTCGCCAGCAAAAAAAAAAAAAAAAAAAAAAACACACCGTCGCGCCAAAAGCTGCTTCGCAACAAAATTGAATTTTCAGTTAGAGGGCTTTCGGGGGGGGGGGGGAACGTTTGCCGTAGAATATATACGCGTGGAACAAAAAGGGGTGTACAGAAGCAGGCCGGAATACAGATACATATATGAGCACGTATATTTAAGCGCGAGGTCATCTGAAATATAACTCGTTCACTATATAGAGGAACTACCGAGAGGGAGTGCGCGCTTATAACCGCGCACACATTTTTTACGTACCCACACGTGGCAAGGATATACGTGCATATATATATATATATATATATAAGTGGTGTGGGTTTGATGATCACGTAAAACGGGATGGAGTAGCTAAAGGGAATGGAGAGCAAGAGGCAAATGTTGACGCATCACTTTTGTACGTTGAGTAAGGCAAGTTCCCATCACCCGTACTTCCCTCGGCAGCGCTCTTTGCTTTCCAGCCCAATCGGGAGCGCGCACGCACACATACAACTGCTCGCGAGTGCAAACTTCTCAGTTTGTCTTTCAATTTGTCGGTTTTATCCATTAGTGGACGCGAGCGGTCAAAAGTTTTTCTGAAAGTGCTCGAGCATCCCGAGGGTCGGTGTGGGCGCTCGTACATATACCTATATGTATACGGAAAAGTCGGCTTGATCCCCTTGCAGGTGCGAAAGAGCGTCACAGTCTTTCTTCTTCTCCCTTTTTTTATTTCCCTCCCCACCCACTACAAGATCCTCGTGCTTTCTCTATTCTCTAGGTCACCCCCTCCCCATACCCCATACATCAGGACAACTTTACTGACCGTGCATTTGTTCCCGTCGCCCTTTGGAATGACAAAAGTTGTATACCCGAAAGGTGAAAGAAACAATAATACGTATCATTCACGTGGACCAAGAGAACACTTTTTTTTTTTTTTTTTTTTTTTTTTTTAAGTTGGCCTGTCCTGGTGCCGTGGGTGAGCTTTTCGATGGCCCGTGAAGCTTACCGTGAGCTGTTGTAATGGTATAATACAAATGTATACTTGCAAAAGTGGAGGCTTTGAAAATTTCGAATATATTGCAGTGCGTCCATTGAAATACGCAAATATCCAGCTCTTAGGAGAACCCCCGGGTCTCAATTTCATTTTATCTGCATTGTAGGTACTACATGGTCGAGAGTAGACGTTGGGTGTTTTTTTTTTTTTTTTTTTTTTTTTTTTTNAAAAAACCATCTATCAATCACATTTTTTTCCCCAAGGAGTACACGTATGTATAGGTGCAGAGCACCATTTTTCTCTGAAATGTTTAGTCAGCGTCTGTCACGTCGCACCAGCCACATTGCTCTCTTTTTCCCGATGTGGAAAATAAAAATAACAATGAACTACATACAACAGTAAATATATATGTCATGTATGATCTCAGTGATAAAACTCAATGTTTTGGACAGTACTGCTTATAGCACGAAAAGGGGCCAACACGGGAGTTTTTCATGAAATTTCTCTATTACTTTAATATTATTTCATTCTAAAAATAAGTAATCATCCACTTTAATCGCGATTGACGTAGATTCCTTCACTTAATCAAACGCATTTGAATTGACTTTTAACGAAAGGTACCTCGTAACGTCATAATAATTGACATCGATACTACATGGTCAAAAATGAATGAATAACGAATAATAATATGTGTGCAGGTCAGATTTTCGCAAGTGCGGACGCTGTTACAGAAGAGTAAGTACAATTGCAGCAACAGCAGTAGCTATGATTATGTATGTGTATGTATGTATGTATGTATACTGTACGCCTCATAAACCTTAACGTCCCTCCGCCCCCGGCTCGCAGCTGCGTCAGAGTTAAACACTTCTAGCTTCGGTTCCGGGCAATTAAGTTACTGTTTACCACGCACGCTACACATGTATACACAGACACAGAGGGAGATGCCGAGTTCTTGATTGAGCGAGTGTTTACTTTGTAGTTGGACGGGACAAGTGATGCCTTAGACTCGGAAAGGATATCATAAGGGTATATATACAGTTTAATATTTTTGGGCACAATTGATCCTGCCATTATCCTTCGCAAGTAAGTTATTAATCATGTCGGCGAAAAACAGGTGCCAAAAATCCCACCGAACGAATTGGGGTGTGAAAATGCTCGGCAATAGATATTTGTTCCCGTATACTTGCAAAAGGGGGAAGGGTCACAAAAGCCGCAAACGTATAGTCAGCAAACAACCAATGATGACAACGACAATGACGCTGAACGACACGACGCACCAACACGAGTGAAGTACCTCGTCGGAGGTTGGTAAGAGCCCGCATGCAATTAGCCAACAGAATATGCCGTTGACTCGACGTACTTATGTACCTGGAGCTTCAAGAGACAAGATGATACACCCGAGATGGGGGGAACATGAGGGGACTTGAAGAAAACTACGGTCTATATTATATATGTACAGCACGCCGACCCTCCCCGCCCACCAGCATCGGCGAACCTACACGAAATAACGAGCTCTATGTATAATCTTTTTTCCATACGAGACGATTAGTACGCTAGCCTCTTACGATATTGTCATAATGCATAACAACGTAAAACTTGGTGCGCGTATATGTGTTTGCGGGCAAAAAAGGAGCCATACCTATCGTATCTTAATTATAGTACATCACG